GCTGGACACAACACTGGTTCATAAATACCCATCCAAGCCACTATTGCTCTCTTTCCCACTTTCCAAGAGGTCTGTTCACTTCCTAAGGCTTTTTCCCCCCCTCACATTATTTATCTGCTGCTTCCTTCCCCCACTCCCTCTAGACAGTGTTTCCCGACTTTCGCAATACCAGTTTTCTTTCTCTTTCATGTGCTTTGGTTTCTATCAAATTGTAATAGATATTGTTAAAATGAGAAACGTGCAGCAGAGGAAGAGCTTGCAGGGAGAATGGAGATGGGGCTCTTCTGACCGTCTCTCTGAGCCCACAGCTGATACAGTTTCACCTTTCAAACCAGAAGCCATCCTTGCTGCTGAGCCCAATAAAGGCAGAATCCCCCCTGAAAATGACGGCCCACAGGTGACATACAGCTGGGTTTAGCTGTTCTCCAGGCAGCTACGCCACTCCTTTTATGTGGCCAGTTTCAAAATAAAGCAAACCAGAATGTTAAATGCATAGGTATTGGCACAAATCTATTCTTCACAATTGTAAAGTGTTTTATGTTTATTACCTCAGTGTCTTGCACACCAAGCAGATGGAGACAACAAAGTAACTCCTGAAACTTTAACTACGTAGATACTTCAAGTGGGACAGGTATGACTGATTGCCAGAAGTGATGATATTCTTCCCCTGCCACCCACCCAACTAAGAATGTGCTATTCAAAGACAAGCTTCACCTATGTTGTTGCTTTGCTATTAATTCCTTCAGCTGTCTGCTTAACTTTGGTAAATGTGTGTTATTGGGCTTTCGATATCAGAATTAAAATACAACTTTGCTAACCTCATCAGACACCTTTCTTAAAAAAAAAAAGGACAACATTCAGTTGTACCAAGAAATTCAGTTCACCAAGAAAATAACTGCTACTTCTCACATGTAGGTCAGACAGCTTTGAAAAGAGGCCCTGTGAAGATGCATGATTATGAAAATGAGGGTATATGTAAATCTGTGTAGATGCACTCAACAGAGGAGCCCGTTGTCCACTGGCTTCCCTCTTAAAAGCCTGGAGAGTGCAGGCAGCTGCCCAAGCAGAGCTTGACTAGTGGCATTCACAGCCTTCGTCAATGATAGGAGGTAAACTATTTTTGTCATATTTCTTTCTAAGGAAGTAGCTGTGTTTCTGAGAAGACTTCAAGTCACAAAAACTCATAGTGAATTTGTACTTTGTGCCATCGCGGTAACTTTAAGAAATACTGTGTGACAGCAAAATCTATCTTCTTTTTTCTGTAGTAGCATTATTCAAAAAACCTTCAGTGTTAAGTAGTGATGGGCTTGCTTTGTTGTGCGTGTCACATGGATGGATTTTTCTATGGGAACAGACTGTGGGGAAGTGTTACCACCATGCTACTTTTCCAGTGGCATTTATGACTGCAGAGACGTATGTGCTACAGCCTCTTGGCTGCAGTAACAGGGGCTGTGCAGCAGCAGGACATCTCAATGCCTCGCTCTCGGCATGAATGTGACACCTGGCAGAGGAAACCCGAGGCCTTGTGCACGGGCTGATGGCTGTAGGTGAAAGGGACTATACTGCAGCTGCCTGCGCCTCACCCCAGCTGACAAATGAAACATTTTTAGAAATGCCGTTGCATGAAATCCAAGGTACTGCTTCCATTAAGATATAATCTGCACTTCCCATTAAAAATGGTGTTGCTCTCAGCTTGATGTTGCCATTAGCTCGTCCCTGTAATCACACAGTTGCCTTCACCCCCGCTGCCCGTGCCCCTCTGTACCAGAGCAAGTGGGAAATAGCTGATGGTTGGTTTTGCCTCTCTCCCTTGGCTACCTGCAGGGCACAGCCCCATTGCAGTGCAGTGAGGTGGGAAACTGGGCGGCTGCGTTCAGGTTCCAGACGCCCATCATCAGCCAGTGTCAGACCTGCAGCTTCCTTAGATGGGAGTACAGCAAAAATGAGTGGTAGCTCGTGTCACTACTCAGTAAAACATGTAGGATTGACTAGATCTCCCTCAGGTGCCCTACTCCAGGTAGTTATGGCTGTTCCCTAATCCCAGCAAGATTAATGGGTGTTTATACTTTCTAAGCACATCACAGCTTTTTTCCCTTTTCCCCTTGCTGCTTTCATGTTCACATTCCCCCATGCGATTTCATGTTTACTTGCAGCTGTAGACCTCTGCATATTCAGACAAACACCTTCATGTAATGACAGGCTAGTAAACCAAAACTATCATCTCAGCCTTTTCTCAACCTTTTTGAATGATACAAATTTTCCAACCTATCTTAAGTGATACTACAGAGAAGAAAATAATCTCTTTACCAAGGATATTGTTCTGTCTTTTGTGGCTCCTAATGTATTCCAGGGACAACCTCATTGAAGGAAAAGATTTTCCTGGCACAACAAAAATTTTCTCAAATCAGCCGCAGCTGCCAGATAGTTTCAGCTTTGAATTGTTTGCATTTATTGGGCCTGGAGTTGGTTCAATGAGGCATTTCATGTCTGCCTTGTGTCAACAGTTTGTGAGCCTTGAAGCAACTCCAATGAACCCTCCCTCCCCCCATGCAAATTAAAGGCATGGCTGCAGCAGCTGTAACCAGAGGGCTAGAAGCTGGAAAATGTCACACTACAGTTGAAGTGAAACTGATATAAATCCATGATGTGATGATCTCTCAAAAAAAAAAAAAAAATCCAAACAAACGTAAACTACATTTAATACTCAACTTTTTCCACATGAGTAATGTGGAGAGGGTTTATATATGGAAGGATACTTTGAAGGTTAACGAATGTTTGTGTAGCTAATAGTTCTTGATGTTAAGTATTACAAACTCAGTTCACTAACTAAAAAGTTCACTAACAAATTATTATCAAACAGTTGCTCACGTTCAAACATAAACATAGCTTTTAAGAGACACCTAACTGGAAAGTTGAACAGGAAGCAAACTGGCTCAGCTAAAAAGTCTGTCACAGAAGAGAGTGAGAATTAAAAAAGGAAAATGGGCTTCTGAGTAAGATAACATGAGGTTGCCTGTAACCATAGGAAGCTTTCTGCACTTGTTGCAGTATGACGAGAAGGAGGTCGCCAACATACATCATCTATCGGTCCACTGAGGTTTTGCAGCTCTCTGTAACACTTTCCTTTCAGTCATCCAATCCCTGAAGCTGTATGTAAGCTAAAGCATCTGTTTTTTCTGGATTGGTGAAACCGATTTGTGTTCCATTTTCCTGATCTTAGCCTGCGACTCCCAGGAATTCCCAGAACATGCTCTAGTTATTTGAAAACCTCAAACTGACTCCATGATTTATGCCTACGGGACAAGAGAGTTGCAACAAAAAGTGAGACACCCCCCCCCCATCATGCAAATAAACCCATGTGCTCTAGTAACTAATTTGCTGCAGACAAATTTGTAAAACAAAAGTGTGTGAACAGACAGATGAGTTTTGCTGGAGGGCAGTCTTCAGCCAGAGCTTTAGCTGGTGGCCTTTCTGGGTATTTAGTAAGTGTTAAGGGCTGTGCAGTTTGGGAGTTTTTTGTCGTTGTTGGTTATTTTTTACTGCCTTTTACTGTGAAGACTTTGCTTTCTATGCTGTGGAGTCTGAAGGTAGAACTTCACCCTGTCTGAAGTGTGTGTGTGTGAAGAAAAAACCCCACAATTTAATAGTGAAACTGTAAGATCTTAGACTGCTAAACCATCATCTAATGCAGTGCTTCTCCAGTTTTGCGGGTCTGCTTCCCTTTTGAGCCCCTCTGTCTTTGATTACCATTTCCCTTTTCAAAGGGTGAGAAGTTCTTCCACATTAGGAGGAAGGAAAAGTGGCTCTAATTGCTGCAAGTATTTACATTCTCCAGGGAACAGATAACTGCCTTTAATTGCTGGCAGCAGCTAGGCAATTAGCTGTTCTCTGAGTAGTATCAACACTTTATGACCTTCTTTGAACCCTCCTTTGAGAATCCCCTTGAGATAAAAGCCATCACAATTTGAGGAAACACAGATCTAAAACCAAGTATAAGTGTGGAAAAGCATCTGCACAAGTAATGTGGTTATAAACTGCAATCTGACATTGTGATGGGAATCTTTTATTGGTTTCTGGAGTTCATAAAGTTGTTTTAGGCTTTGTAAGAAGCTATACAGATTGCACTATAAAAATACTGTTACACTAGACTGAGTCATAAAGAGCACAGTCAATAATTATGCACCAAGACAAGGAGCTGTCATATGACTTTCATTCTCTATTTAACTTGTTAATTCTGTTTAGCTCATAGTCTTGCCATTCTTCATGCAATGACATTCCAAAGAAGTGTGCGTTTGCTTAGTGTAGGGACTTTCTCCACTATAGACTGAGATTCTTGATGTAGCAAATACATTGCTGCATATGGTGTTTATTCTTTTTTGTAATGATATCGTAGTCATGATCCTTCAACTGTAAAAGATATTCTCTGCTGTTCATTCAGAGACTTACCAACTTTGGTGATTGTGGCCCTCTGAGGAGTTAAGGTCATGCAAGGTTGTCCTGGTTTGAGTGACACAGGACTAATTTCTCTTTTAATGCTTAGGAAGACTGCATTTTTAGAAGACTGAATTTGTGTAAATATTTATTTGTAGCCAGCTATGGTGTGTGGGTTTCAAGGTCTCAGTGCTTTTGAACTTGCCAGATGCAGGGATGAGTAGGAGCGAAACCCAGGCACTTGACGCAAGCTGGCCAACAGGATTATTTCATACCATGAACATCACATTTAATATAAATCAGAAAGTTTGCTGCAGAATGCACTCTCTCCCTTAATGGCTGCCATCCTGAGAACTTCTTGCCCCAGTGCCAGACCCCTGAGGCCTTCCCTTCTTCACGAACCTGTAGCACTCACAGTGTCCAACATTTGGTCTCCACCGCTGGGAGTGGACGGCTTCCTACTGATCTAATTGGCTGAGTACACTCCTCATATATTTTATATTGGTATCGGGATCAATACTGGTTCTTTAGCGCTACTAATGTTAATTATCTAATCTTATTCTATTAAATCTGTTTATATTTCAACCCCCGGGTTTTCTTGTTTCTTCTCGATTCCCCTTCCCAGGTGGGGAGGGGTCATCGGGTGATAGAATAATTGTCTAAACGACAATACATTGTTGTGTGTTTCTTGAACCATAACAAAGATATGCCTGGTTATTCCTGATTATCATTCACTAGACTAAGTCAACTTTCAGTCCCTTGTTCTGAAAATGCAAGTTTTTGTGTATCACCTAGGGTTTCTGATTAGGGCTTGCCATCAAGTCCCTGTAAGCTGCAAAGATGGAATACTGCTCTCTGGCAGACTAGCATCTTTGCAGGTGATTGTCTGTTACAGGTAGCATAGGGAAAAATGAGTTACAACTAATTATAATAATTAATAATTAATTAATTGTATAAACCAGTTGGATTTAGCAAGTTTGGGTTGGCTGGGACTCACCTCAGTGACCTCTTTAGCATCTAGATGTTAAGACCTAGCCTGTTTACTCATCTGCAGTGTACCTGAGATGAAACCTACCCTTCATACTTTTTTTTTTTTTTAACGGGGAATCTCTCCTAACATGGAAAAGATTTTGTCCTTTCAACTGCACAGAACACAGTTTTTTCACGAGGAACAGTTAAACGGTTAATGATGAATGAAATCTAATACAGTATTCATGGGATCCAAACTGTGTTTTTCCTAATTGATATTTTCTGTGCAATTAGACTTAGTTCACATCAGAAAAGTCCAACGCAGTTTTACAATATTCTAGCGTGCTTTTTCTCAACACTTTTGTACCCTAAGCAATTTGGCAAGTTTAAAAATAGTAAACTCGTAGAATATTGTTTCATGAATGACTCAAACTCAAGGTTTCCTTGCTGTAGCGTATAAATAGCCAAAGATGTAACAGCCAAGAATACTGCTTGGAGTTGAGATATGCAATATAAAGGACGGCTCTCACAGCCTGCGAAATTATCCTTTTAACTGCTGATTTGGCACGTGTACGGCAGCTATGTGATTTTTATATAAGATTATTTAAAAGTAGAGTATAAGAGAGTCCTTAAAAATATCAACAACCAGTAGTCTGCTATAGTAGTAGCTACCATGTCTTATAGTCGCATCGTCTTCTAAAATTTACTGTGAATAAGCAAGGATAAAATGTTCTGCTCTAACAACAACAAAAAAGCTACACTGGAATTTGCAACAAATACTTACATGAACTAAAGAAGTTCTTAATATGAATTGCCATCTCTAATGATCTGAGCGACTGGACAGAAGTTTCAATCTTATAACAGAAATAACTGCAAGTAGAAAAAGAGGGTACGTTGATGTGTTTGCTGCTGTGGTGCAGTTTCCTGAGGTGGTGAAATTACGATGTTAATACTGTTAACATGACTCTTTATATGTTCTTCATTCTGATGACGGCTTGTTCTGGCTTACCAGCAACTTCATTTCTTGCTTATCTATGCTGGAATTTACGCTTTCGGCCTCTTTTTCTTGCTCAGGTACACAAGTGCAGCCCACTGGGATAGTGACATAATCTTCTGTGTAGACGTAACGGCCCCCAGCACATGACGACGTGCGACGGAGGATGACTGTTGGCATGTACACGGGGGTGCTGCGGAAGTGAAAATTCTCCTCGCCGAAGATCCCCATGAGGCAGCCTTGGCACAGACAGTATGCTTCAGGAATGTATTTAGGGTATCTTGTGGGATCATATGAAATTCTATAAGGAGGCAAATAATAAAGATTCATTACTGTCTCTAATAATAGGTATATTTACGTGGAAAACATTATTATAATGTGATTTGACCGTAAACATTTATATAATGTTTTTGGTTTCTTTGCCAGGGAAAAATAGCTGTAACTGCTGCTATCTGACTTCTTATTTGTAAATTGTAAAGAAAAAACACAAACAACTTACAGAACTAATCAGGTCCTACAGTGCACGCTGAAGTATGAACTGACTGGCTTTCTCAAATGTGAGATTCAGGGGTTTAAGCAGACTAAATTTTGCATTTTTTACTGAATGGGTAGATAAAGCATTAAAAAAGGACACTTGGGGCATTTCCAAACTTTTGATTTGCCTTACATTCTTCAAAAATTGTTACAAATCCTTGTTAACATTGTTATTGTTGAAGCTATGACATGATGTTTCAAAATTTTATAATTTAAATAGAATGAAATTGTACTATTATTTCTGCAATAGTTTTTGCTCCCTAGTATACTTGGTGTTATAAAGATGCCTTCCTCTTGAAAGCAGAACTCTGTATTTCTTTCTCTAATTCACCTCCACTGTTTCTTCCTCTAACCAGAGAAGAGTAACATTCGCACGTCCACACCGGGATAAACTGCAAAGTTAATGTTTTTTCTGCCCTCTCCTGCTACATCTTGAAGTAAAGCATTGCTCCAAAGCTTCAAGAGTATAGCCTCTCTTTTTTGTTGTCTTACAGTTTGTTGTTTGATCCTTTCTTTTTGCTTAGTAATGCCCTGTCCCTGGGAATTCCTGATTAGCAGGAGCTGGAGAGCTTGTAACCTAAGCACAGCTTGGACCAACAAAGTCCAAGTTCCAACATTCCCCTCTGGATATTGTTGGATGCAAAATCAAAGATGTGATACTAGGGTCTCAAGTCATACAGATCCTGGCTGACCTACAGCCATTGTTTTTAGCAAAGAAAGTAAAAGCTGATAAAGTCTATTTGTTTTTTTCAAATAAAAGACTAAGTACACAGTGGATTAGACGTACTGGAGTGTGTAGCCATGCTGCTTATTGTGGTGGTGATGTATTTGTTGCTTTTTCTTTACCCGCTTTTCCTGTTTATACTGGAAGTAATTGCTGGGCATGGCCATAACTCGTACATTATTACAACTCTGTGTCATTATTCTAGAAAATGTGCTTGCACCTCAAGAAAAAGACAGTTTTTTAATATGTTTAATACCTATGCCAGCTGTCCTCCTTGTACCTGTAAGCCTCCTTCAGATCACCTTCTCCTCTCACACTGTTACAAAACTATTCCTGCTTCAGCACTGGCTGCATGTCCAGCTGGAGAGGGATGACAGCTCTCTTTGGCTGGAGAAGCATCCAGTCCAGAAGCACTGCCAGCCGCCTCTCGGTGCTCCTCCCGCAGAGCCCGTCCCCGCTCTGGGACGATGCTGACCTCACATATGTTATCAGAAGCAACTACCCACCTGTCAGCTAACAGAAAACCCTTTTCTGCCCTTTCCCCCAGCTCCTCCTTTCACACCATAGATGGTTACAACTACACAAGGTGCATAGCAGACATATCCTACAGGCTTTTACTTGGCACACAGAGAGCACGAAGACACACTGGTAGGTCACCTAGTCAAAATGCCTCCACGAGGCAAGCTCAGATATATTTGCCCATGTTTGTCCAGGCTGTTCTTAAAAACATCCAGAGGAGATCCCCAGCCTGCCCACAGGGTCTGTTGCAGTATTTCACCACCTCTCTACTTGGTAAGTTTTCCTAACAGTGAAAAGGAGCATTTTTTTCTTGCAAATTAAATCAATCATTTCCTCCGTTTAGGTGGTAAATTACAGCAGCTGAGGCTAAAAAACTAACAGTTAAAGATTTGATATGAGAGAGAATGTTCAAGCCTGTAATGTTCACTGTAAAGTGCTGCAAAACCAGTAAAAGTTCTTGCACTGGGTTTTAAACCATCCTCTACTTGGGATCAGGATAGGACCACGACACAGTAGATGAAGTGGAGCAACTACATAAGCAAAATGAATAAATTAAATACCTGTCATCAATATAATTATCTATGGAGTGATACAAACTGAGTATAGAATGCCCTGCTTCCCACAGAAGTTTTTAAAATAACCAATTTCGAAAAACACAATGGACTTAAAGTGATTCCTAAATTGTGTTTCCCAGGACCCCATCAGGGTCTGTACCACTTCTCTGGGTATCAAAGCGTTAACCTTTTATCTTTTCAGGTGGTCTGTGAGATGAGGTTTCAGCTATGGAAGAGGCAGTGTAAGTCTGCCTTGAGGTGTGATTACACAGTCCATTCTAGTCAACAGAACCCGCACTTGCCAAAACAGACAGCCTGGCTCTCCCTCTTGCCTTCCCCCCTGGGTTGATGCTAATGTTCTTCTGGTCACAGGATGGATCGGGGAATGCATCCAACTGAAAAGTAACCTCATCAAAAGCTGGATTTTGGTCCTTCAGCTGTCTTGCCACATATACACAGAGCCCTACACAAACAAGCCAGTGTAAACAAGCAGCTGTAGGTGGGGGCAGAAGGGAGCTGCCCTTTTCAGGAGAAGCAACACCAGTTTATAAGGTTAAAACAAATCAGGAATCACAGCTTTAGCTAAGCACAAACTTGATTATTCTATCAATCATCAAAGAAAAGAGGCTTTATTTTTTTTCCCCCCAATGGCCATATAATCTGAATTCTTTGTCTTTTTAAGGAATTTGTTTTCCTCACAGAAAAATCTCACCAGTTCTCGCATAGCCAGACATCTGTGATGTTGCAGATATTTTTTGCAAAGCTTCTCTGTCCCATTTATACTCGCTTAGTTTCCCCAGGAAATACCTTAATGTTACAGGATCTCACACCCATGTGAAATAAAATGTCTGGTAGCCAGAAGAAGAGAAGAAAGTGCAATACAGTCTTTTCTCCCATGATACATTCCCATTTCAAACTCAAGTGTGAATAATTTCAATAGTGGATTGTTAAACATACCATATGTCAAGTCATTGGTATTTCCTCTACTGTATTATCTCTAGCACCTGGTTTATGATGTTACTGGAAAGCACGAACATGCTCCTGGATGCAAACATTAGAGTATTCACTAATAACAAGAGAACACTGTCACTGGAATCGTGGTCTTCAACAAGCTTCCCCTCCAAATTCCCATGTGGCAAAAGTCAGGTATAAATGAGTTTTTTGGGGGGAAGGATGGTGTGGTTTTCTACTTTCTATAGAAAAAAACTCTTGTATTGCTATGTTTGCTGTAAATACCTCTACTCCATCCCGTGAGGAATGGAAGGAATCAGAGAGGATCCACAACCAAAGATGGATCCAAAATACAGATGTGCTTTTGCATCCAGATTGGAACTTGAAGGCTGAAGACTCTAAGTAATGACTCCTGAAATGAAATGCTGAACTCAAATGTCACTAAGCTTTGGATCCATATCCAAGGTTCTGCATCTTCAGCTCAAACCTGTTAAGAAAAGCCATATAACTAAAGGCTCATGTTCATGGTTCTAAGCAATCCAGCCTGATTTTGGTCTGAACTGCCAACAGCAGTAACCTAGCTGTATAAATGCAGGGACACCTTCCACTAGACCAGGTTGCTCAAAGCCCCATCCAACCTGGCCTTGAACACCTCCAGGGATGTGGTATCTACAGCTTCTCTGGGCAATTTGTTCCAGTGCCTCACCCCCTTCAGAGTGAAAAATTTCTTCCCACTATCTAATCTAAATCTCCCCTCTTCCAGTTTGAAGCCATTACCCCTCGTCCTATCACTGCATGCCCTTGTAGAAAGTCCCTCTCCAGCTTTCTTGTAGGCCCCCTTCAGATACTGGAATGCTGCTATAAGATCTCCCTGGAGCCTTCTCTTCTCCTGGCTGAACAACCCCAACTCTCTCAGCCTGTCCTCATAGGGGAGGTGATATAATCACTCTGTGCATATAATGACCACAGCCTCAGTTGCTGTAGTTTGATGCCTCTCCATTACTCTAAGCACTACGAGTCATCATTTTATGTCTTCTCCTAGAACAGGGCAAACATGTTTGATCGTGTTAATTAACTTGATAAAACACACACTCCAAGTTCCCACTGACTGTTTTCTATAAATGGTGAAAGATGCACCTAACTGGGGTGGACACAACAGAAGCAGCTGGGAAGAGTGGTGGAGAACCAGAGAAGTGCAACTTTCCACTGGCACCCAAGTGTCCCCTCCATCCTTGTGTCATTTGCTGTGGCCACTGCTGCAAACTAGGCAGCTCAGCTATTTTGATGAGGGTTGCCCTTGTCCTGTGAACTCAGGTTACCGGCATGTAGGCTGGCTCTGCCTAGCCAGCCCTCCTGATTTACAAATGACAGGAGCAGTGAGCTATGCCGGGCTGCTGTGTTTTGATCCGCTGGAACAAGAAGCAGGTTTCTACTGAACTGGAACTGCTAATGAAGTGTGACTAGTTCTAGGCTGCTTTTCCTTATGACCCTACGAGTGCTTTGAGAGGTCCCAGTGAAAAACAAACTTCCTGCCATTTATGTAGTAAGCCTGGAAACTCAAGAGAAAAGTTTCTGTCAGAAGTAAAACTCTTGCAAAGACTTAATCTGTCTCATCCTGTACTGCTACTTTCATATGTAGTATTTTTAACAATATTATCACTTCACAGTTTCCAAGCTTCTAAATCCAGTGGGTCAGATGCTGTGCTGGGGCAAGCAGACACAGCTGACTCTTCAGAAAATCACTGTTAGCACTCGGCTAACAGCTGGATGTTATCAGAAGTCTAATAAGCAGATCATCATTCCTTTACTTCGCACTCTGAAATACTTACAGGATTAAGAGCTAACAACTTTTTTCCCCCTCTTGGCAAGACATTTATTTCTGTATAGCAGGTGTTCTTTTGTTCACATTATGCTTAGTTTGTTTTATATACAGGTTGTAAATACAGAGCTTGCATAAAATAGCCTAGTGCTAACAGTGATTTTCTGAAGAGTTGTACGAACATGTACTCAAATAAAAAGGAGAGTAGTTCTGCGTCCCCTTGTATTTT